CTGGATTATGGTTCTGCAGACCTGTCTGTCTCACCTGCCACAGCACTGGTATTAGGGTTAGTAGTAATGGTTACTGCAGACCTGTCTGTCTCACCATGTCACAGCACTGGTAGTAATGGTTACTGCATAACCTGTCTGTCTCACACCATGCCACAGCACTGGTAGTAATGGTTACTGTAGACCTGTCTGTCTCACCATGTCACATCACTGGTAGTAATGGTTACTGTAGACCTGTCTGTCTCACACCATGCCACAGCACTTGGCTGGCAACATGAAGCTTCATTACATATTCACTATGACATCACACCTCCCCAGTCTCCTGGTTACACAGCCCTCACGAGAGAGACAATCAACTCTTCTCGATTTCACCTTTTAAAGTGTCAACAGTTTTACATTTCATGGTAAGTTCAGTGCTTGACTTGGACTGAAATAGGTGGCGGTACTGTTTATACAGTACCAGTCAAAAGTTTGGACACACCTACTCATTCCAGGGTTTTTCTTTATTTTTACTATTTTCTGCAATGTAGAATAATAGTGAAGGCATCAAAACTATGAAATAACACATATGGAATCATGTAGTAACCCAAAAAGTGTTAAACAAATCAAAATATATTTTATATTTGAGATTCTTCAAATAGCCAACCTTTGCCTTGATGACAGCTTTGCACACTCTTGGCATTCTCTCAACCAGCTTCATGAGGTAGTCACCTGGAATGCATTTAAATTAACAGGTGTGTCTTGTTAAAAGTGAATTTGTGGAATTTCTTTCCTTCTTAATGCGATTGAGCCAATCAGTTGTGTTGTGACAAGGTAGGGGTGGTACACAGAAGATAACCCTATTTGGTAAAAGACCAAGTCCATATTATGGCAAAAACAGCTCAAATAAGCAAAGAGAAACGACAGTCCATCATTACTTTAAGTTTCTTCAAGTGCAGTTGCAAAAACCATCAAGCGCTATGATGAAACTGGCTCTCATGAGGACCACCACAGGAAAGGAAGACCCAGAGTTACCTCTGCTGCAGAGGATAAGTTCATTACAGTTAACTGCATCTCAGATTGCAGCCCAAATAAATGCTTCACAGAGTTCAAGTAACAGACACATCTCAACATCAACTGTTCAGAGGGGACTGTGTGAATCAGGCCTTCATGGTCGAATTGCTGCAAAGAAACCACTACTAAAGGACACCAATAATAAGAAGAGACTTGCTTGGAGCAAGAAACACGCGCAATGGATATTAGACCGGTGGAAATCTGTCCTTTGGTCTGATGAGTCCACATTTGAGATTTTTGGTTCCAACCGCTGTGTCTTCGTGAGACGCAGAGTAGGTGAACAGATGATCTCTGCATGTGTGGTTCCCACCGTGAAGCATGGAGGAGGAGGTGTGATGGTGTGGGGGTGCTTTGCTGGTGACACTGTCAGTGATTTATTTAAAATTCAAGGCACACTTAACCAGCATGGCTACCACAGCATTCTGCAGCGATACGCCATCGCATCTGGTTTGCGCTTAGTGGGACTATAATTTGTTTTTCAACAGGACAATGACCCAACACACCTCCAGGCTGTGTAAGGGCTATTTGACCAAGGAGAGTGATGGAGTGCTGCATCAGATGACCTGGCCTCCACAATCACCCGACCTCAACCCAATTGAGATGGTTTGGGATGAGTTGGACCGCAGAGTGAAGGAAAAGCAGCCAACAAGTGCTCAGCATATGTGGGAACTCCTTCAAGACCGTTGGAAAAGCATTCCAGGTGAAGCTGTTTGAGAGAATGCCAAGAGTGTGCAAAGCTGTCATCAAGGCAAAGGGTGGCTACTTTGAAGAATCTAAAATATATTTTGATTTGTTTAACACTTTTTTGGCTACTACATGATTCCATATGTGTTATTTCATAGTTTTGATGTCTTTCCTATTATTCTACAATGTAGAAAATAGTAAAAATAAAGACAAACCCTGGAATGAGTAGGTGTGTCCAAACTTTTGACTGGTTCTCTATATTTAGGTGCAGGAACTCCACAATAATTTGACCTGATAAGAGGTTCAGGAACACCACAATACTTTTGACCTAGTAAGAAGAGAAGGAACTCAAGCAGTAGAACATTTGATGTGCCGGCCCGGTACTCAGTTCCTGTGAGCTCCCGCCCAAGTCAAGCAGTCAGGTAAATCAATTCAATTCATCCAGGTAAGTCATACAGTTCAATCTGCAACGACATGAAGAATGAGGGCCCACTGTTCCAAGCCAACAGCTGGGTGTTGCTAGGGGCTCCCTCCCTCCTATAGCATGTCATTATACCATGGTGTCTGTTGTATGGCAGCTTCCCACAACACAACGTGTTTATTTCGTGTGACACTATGACACTGTGTGTCTGTTGTTCCCACACACAGTAGGTCTATAGTGGGGGGTGGACGGGCGTGTGTGTGTGTGTGTGTGTGTGTGTGTGTGTGTAGAGGAGTGATGTATGGTTCCTGTGTGAAGTGGCACATGTCTCCCATTATGTACCAGTGCGTATGTCATTAGATGTCCAACGGGACAGAGACAGGGGATGGGGGATGGGTTGGGGGCCACAAAGACCCAGTGTAACAGAGAAACACCTAGGTTGTGTCTGAAATGGCACTCTATACCCTCTACCATATACCCTATACCCTCTACCATCTACCCTATACCCTCTAGCCTCTACCCTCTACCCCTCACCCATACCCTACCCTAACCCTCTACCCCTCGACACCCTCTACCTATACCCTATACCCTCTACCCTCTCCCTATACCCTACCCTCTACCCTATACCCTAAACCCTCTACCACCATACCAACCCTCTACCCACCCTCTACCCTATACCTCTACCCTACCATCCCTACCCTCTACCCTCTACCAAACCCTATACCTCTACCCTATACCCTTACCATCTACGACCCTACCCTCTACCTATACCCTCTACCCTACTACCCTCTAACCCTCTACCAACCCTCTACCCTAGACCCTCTACCACACCCTATACCCTACCATCTACCCTCGACCCTAACCCTCTACCAAACCTCTACCCTCTACCCTCTACCATCTACCCTCTACCCCTATACCCTCTAACCGACCCTATACCCTATACCCTACCACCCGAACCCCGACCAGCAACCCAGACCACGCAACCCCGACCGTACCTCGAGACCACAACCCGACCGACCCAACACCCCCGATACCCCGAACCCGAAGACCGACAGACCCACGAGACCCGAACCAGGACCCGACGACCAGAACCGCAGACCCGAGACCCGGACCCGAGAACCCAGCGACCCGAGAAACCCGACCCGGACCCAGACCCGACAACCGCAAGGACCAAGACGACCCGCGACCCTGACACGCCCGACCCAGACACCGCACGACCCAGACCACCAGCGAACCCGCGACCCGAGACCCAAGGACACAGCACCCGACACCACCGATACCAGCGACCCGAACCCGCAACCGCAGACCGAGACCCGCGACCAACACGCCTAACCCGGACCACAGACCCGAACCCGTACCACCATCGACCCGAACCTACGAACTACCCAAACCAGACCCGAGACCGTACCCGAACCCTAGACCAGAACACCGCGACCAACCCAACCATACCCTATACCCTAACCCTATACTACCCATCTACCCTATCTACCTATACCCTATACCCTACCCTATACCCTACCCTACCCTATACCCTCTACCCTATACCCTATACCATCTACCCTATACCATCTACCCTATACCCTATACCATCTACCCATATACCCTATACCCTATACCCTATACCCTATACCATCTACCCTATACCATCTACCCTATACCATCTACCCTATACCCTCTACCCTATACCCTATACCCTATAGTGTGCACTGGTCAGAAGTAGGGCACTATATAGGGAACAGGGTGCCATTTCAGACAAACCCCTTGAGAGAATGACTGAGGGAGAAAGTAGATGGTGGTCATATTCATGTGAGACATCTCCTACGCTCTAAATAGGGCCAAGTCCATTAAACAACTTCTTTTATAAACACGTCAATTTGATTTATTAATAAGATCTAAATGCAATTTTGATTATGACGGCATGCAGAGCTTTGACTTCAGCTATGGTTTAGATTTTATCCAAATTTTTGTGGAGCCAGTATTTCTCATCATTGAATTGCACTGTTTAGATCTGACATTTCAGTTTTACGATTCAGAAAATATGAAATTGAAGCTGCCTTGCATTCCTTCTGGTCTCTTTTTGAATGGGGTTCGTCTGAAATGGCACCCTATTCCCTATATAGTGCACTACGTTTGACCAGGACCCATAAGGAATAGGGTGCCATTTCAGACACAACAAGTGTGACCCCCTCAAGCAGCAAAACAGATGCAAGTATTTTAGTGGGAGGGAGGGAGGCTAGCAGGCCACTGTTGGCAGGCTCTTTAGGCAATAATATGACCCTAAGATGAAGTCACAAACATTGCAACTGTAGTCGACTCCCACTCGTCAGGCAGGGCAACACAGACCAAGCATTATACCCAGAGAGTACCAGCTGGTACCATCGTCTCCTCTCCTCGTCCTCCCTACGGACTTCATTTGTTGTGTCGTCTGAAAACCAGGACATGGAACTATATAATTATAAGGGAAAACTGCAAACTGCAAATATCCTCCTGGGTTGTCTTGTGCTGTTTTCACTTTCTATACTTTGTCCAGCTGAGAAACGTGAGTAGTGATGCTTTTTATTGGATGCATTTGGTCAGGTGGTAATCTTGGTCTGTTGTGAGAGTGGGGGGTTGTGGATCGTTGTTGCTTTTTTCCCTTGGAGATACAGAGTGTGCATCTTAGATTTCACAGGTTGATTTTGTTCGTTTGATGAGGTGAATAAGTCTAGGACCAGTTCTTACCGCCAGAAAACATCCTGGATTATAGGATCTTGCTTGAAAACTTTATAAGCAAAAATGCATAATTAAACATGAATCAAATGCACTGTTACTCAAGCGCAGCAGCACACATCGACCTCTATCAAAAATGGTTTTGTATATTGATAACTTCCTCTGTCACTGTTTCACAGGCCTTGAGGCCCTGCACGTCATACTGACCATGGGTCAGATTCTGACGTAGGGAGTTATGCCTTTCCTCCACACACTAGTGGTGCGCGGGTCAGTGGTTTGTTCACCCGCTCCCGCCCGCAATTGCTAATAACCCATCCGCAACCGCCCGACTATATTTGATAAAGTGAAAATCTGATGCCCGCACCCGACCCTAACCCACTAATATACAAAATGTGCTACAGGCTACAATCAGAGACTGCAGAATACGTTTTTGACAGGGGGTGCAGGATATTTTTTTGTTGTTGCCTGATTTAGATATGTTTCTGCTTATAATTTCCAACATTTTGGTAGGCTATGTGGTTAGTCAACTTGTCTATAATTAGATACATGTAGCTTCTCTTTTGTCATTATATGTTGCCCTTGGAGACTAAATAAACCCTTGCTCAACAGAATCATGTAATAGATCGATAGAATGAAGAGCTTCCATCTAGTTGACATCGGTAAAGTTTTCTCTGTCATCTCTGCTTCTTTCTCGGAACAAAGACTTTTAGGGACCGAGGTAAAAATGCAATAATTCTTTAAAGATTTGAACGATTTTCTGTGCAAAATGTCCAGTTTCACCGGTTGTAGGGAAATAGAAAGTTGTGAAAACGACCCAACATGTTTCTGATAAGATTTCAGTTTTGCTTGGATGCATATTTTATGTGTTTGAAATACTATGAGCTTTTATGAGGCTGATAAAGACGGCACGTCTACAGACGGTACACTACATGACCAAAAGTATGTGGACACCCCTTCAAATGAGTGGATTCGGCTATTTCAGCCACACCCGTTGCTGACAGGTGTATAAAATCGAGCACACCGCCATGCAATCTCCACAGACAAACATTGGCAGTAGAATGGCCCGTACTGAAGAGCTCAGTGACTTTCAACGTGGCACCGTCATAGGATGACACCTTTCCAACAAGTCAGTTTGTAAAATTTCTGCCCTGCTAGAGCTGCCCCGGTAAACTGTAAGTGCTGTTATTGTGAAGTGGTAACATCTAAGAGCAACAACGGCTCAGCCGAAAGTGGTAGGTCACACAAGCTCACAGAACGGGACCGCCGAGTGCTGAAGCGTGTAGCTCGTAAAAATCATCTGTCCTTGGTTGCAACACTCACAACACTCACTACCGACTGCCTCTGGAAGCAATGTCAGCACAAGAACTGTTAGTCGGAAGCTTCATGAAATGGGTTTCCATGGCTGACCAGCCACACACAAGCCTAAGATAACCATATGCAATGCCAAGCGTCGGCTGGAGTGGTGTAAAGCTTGCCAACAGTGGAAGCGCGTTCTCTGGAATGATGAATCACGCTTCACCATCTGGCAGTCCGATGGACTAATCTGGGTTTGGCGGATGCCAGGAGAACGCTACCTGCCCGAATGCATAGTGCCAACTGTAAAGTTTGGTGGAGGAGGAATAATGGTCTGGGGCTGTTTTTCATGGTTCGGGCTAGGCCCCTTAGTTCCAGTGAAGGGAAATCTTAACGCTACAGCATACAATGATATTCTAGACGATTCAGTGCTTCCAACTTTGTGGCAACAGTTTGGAGAAGGCTATTTCCTGTTTCAGCATGACAATGTCCCCCTGCTTGAAGTAAATAATATAATATAATAATAATAATATGCCATTTAGCAGACGCTTTTATCCAAAGCGACTTACAGTCATGCGTGCATACATTTTTTTTTTTGTGTATGGGTGGTCCCGGGGATCGAACCCACTACCTTGGCGTTACAAGCGCCGTGCTCTACCAGCTGAGCTACAGAGGACCACGTAAAGTCCATACAGAAATGGTTTGTCGAGATCGGTCTGGAAGAACTTGACTGGCCTGCACAGAGCCCTGACCTGAACCCCATCTAACACCTTTGGGATAATTTGGAACACCCAACATCCGTGCCCGACCTCACTAATTCTCTTGTGGCTAAATGGAAGCAAGTCCCTGCAGCAATGTTCCAACATCTAGTGGAAAGCCTTCCCAGAAGAGTGGAGGCTGTTATAGCAGCAAAGGGGGGGGGGACCAACTCCATATTAATGCCCATGATTTTGGAATGAGATGTTCGACGAGCAGGTGTCCACATTCTTTTGGCCATGTTAGTGTATCTAACTGCGCATTCGCACCAAGATGCTGAAAGAAATAAATCATATTTCTCCATCCTCTTCCCAAGTCAAAATGTAGCTTACATTTGGTGTAGGCCTATCGTTTTACTGCAAGAACTTCTGCAGGAGTAAATATTGAGGCTATGCGAGAGGTTATAGACCTACAGTCAGTGTCCAGATGTCAATTTCCATTGAACCCATCAGAATAGTAGACAACAGTTCATTTGACACGCCATAGGCCTATTTGAAGTCCCCATCTTGTGACTTGTATAGCGCCTCACAATCATCACACCTAACATAGCTAAATGGCTAAATGCTATCATCCTCTTTTACCACTTCACCTAATCCTTCCCAAACATTAGGCTACTTCTCTGGGCCTCCCTACTTTTATATTTAACTCTCCATTCCGCAGCTTTTCACTTATTTAATTAAACTCCGACATTGTTCTTTTTCCCCTCTGTGGGACGGCATTAAACTCCGACATTGTCCTTTTTCCCCTCTGTGGATCGGCATTAACTTTTTCTGCTCTTCCCAAAAGCGTTTGACAATTGGCACGTCGGTTATTTGGCGCTCTTGGCGCGCATACAGTTGGGCCCTAAAGTTTAGGCTTACGCACTAATAATGCCTGGTAGCCTACAATAATGAAAGAAAAACCTCAATGTAGCCTATAGATATAAATTGCACAAGAATGATACATTTATGGATTTTTTTCTCTTTATTCAACCCGCTCGCCACCCACCCGCCCTTCATCCACACAATATTCCATCATCCTAAACCGACCCGCCCCGCGGATAACGCGGGGAGTGCGGAATATGAGTCAACCCCCGCATCACTAACGCACGCCTTTCCTACTCACTTCTCAGTAGTTCGTATTCGGATGTTGGAACATTGCTGCGGGGACTGTTATAGCAGCCACAAGAGCATTAGTGAGGTCGGGCACGGATGTTGGGCGATCCAAATGAAGGTGCGTACTTAACGGGTTTTTGCAGGTGTGGTTCCCTAGCGCTTGCTGAATAAATAAATGTAGGCCTAATTCAACCGCTGAAAACCCTCCCACTTGCTGGCCAACAGATTTTTCTCGTGGAGTTTTCATTCAATAGGGTTTTCAGTATGGACATGTAGTGTATATAGAATTAGAATAGGGAGAATAGTGTACAATAGTAGGCTATGCCCTCGTCTATTGCCTGCACTAACCATGGAACTGTGTGACGACACAATCAACTATTTCCCCACGTGTCGGGCTCAAACTGTTACGGCTTGGTCTGCCCTCCGCTCCGTAACGATTTAATTAGCTTAAATGCCCCTGGCATAACGTAGTTTCTCTGGTCCCAGGCAAGGTATGTACTGCTGATCGCTGTCCATGGTGCTGGAATTGCGACACGTCTATGCGGCTGAATGCCTATCGAATCATTTACGTCATTTAGCAGACGCTCTTATCCTATCATCCTTAATCGATGATAGGATTTCTGTGGTGCCAGGGCTTAACTTAGCTTTAGCTAATGGATAAATGTTTATTGACCTATTTGGTCGTCATTTTCTCTTAAAGCCTAACATTTTCACGAAGGTTTTTTTATTTTTTTATTTCACCTTTATTTAACCAGGTAAGCCAGTTGAGAACAGGTTCTCATTTACAACTGCGACCTGGCCAAGATAAAGCAAAGTAGTGCAATAAAAACAACACAGAGTTACATATGGGGTAAAAAACATAAAGTCAGAAATACAACAGAAAATATATATACAGTGTGTGCAAATGTAGCAAGTTATGGAGGTAAGGCAATAAATAGGCTATAGTGCAGAATAATTACAATAGTATTAACACTGGAATGCTAGATGTGCAAGAGATTATGTGCAAATAGAGATACTGGGGTGCAAAAGAGCAAAATAAATAACAATATAGGGATGAGGTAGTTGGGTGGGCTAATTTCAGATGGGCTGTGTACAGGTGCAGTGATCGGTAAGGTGCTCTGACAACTGATGCTTAAAGTTATTGAGGGAGATAAGAGTCTCCAGCTTCAGAGATTTTTGCAATTCGTTCCAGTCATTGGCAGCAGAGAACTGGAAGGAATGGCGGCCAAGGGAGGTGTTGGCTTTGGGAATGACCAGTGAGATATACCTGCTGGAGCGCAGACTACGGGTGGGTGCTGCTATGGTGACCAATGAGCTAAGATAAGGCGGGGATTTGCCTAGCAGTGATTTATAGATGGCCTGGAGCCAGTGGGTTTGACGACGAACATGTAGTGAGGACCAGCCAACAAGAGCGTACAGGTCACAGTGGTGGGTAGTGTATGGGGCTTTGGAGACAAAACGGATGGCACTGTGATAGACTACATCCAATTTGCTGAGTAGAGTGTTGGAGGCTATCATTTTGTCGCAATGCTGCCATTTTTAGACTGTTGGCAATATTGTTCAGTAATTCAAGTTGGAAATTCCAACATGGCAGATTGTGAAATACATGTTCGATGCAAAAGCAGACTAATCAGCAACCAATTGATTTAAAGCTCTCTCCCAGCTTGTATAGGGCTGTAGAGGGCGGCAGGTAGTTTAGTGGTTAAGAGCGAAAGGTCGCTGGTTCTAATCCCCGAGCCGACTAGGTGAAAAATCTGTCGATGTGCCCTTGAGCAAGGCACTTAACCCTAATTGCTCCTGTAAGTCGCTCTGGATAAGAGCGTCTGCTATATTAATATAAATATTGAAATGTAAAACCAGTCTATTAATGGCAAATAATACAGTCAGTCCACCCTCAAAACACTCTCTTACTAGGGATTGTTTCATTATGCAGTGTACTATCTATAAAAATAAAAAAAAGACACATCAAATAGCCTAACAATGAGGGGGAAAGTAGTCCGTTTGAGGATAAATTCAGCCACTATTTATTGTTGAATTCCGCGGGTTTTTGTCTGGCTAATAGCCTTAACAAATGGGCTAAATTAACCCTCCCGTTGTCCTAGGGTCAAAATGACCCGCCACTGTGGTTACCAACTTGATATTTAATTTTTATATTTTTGAATCATTTTGTGAGAAGGCGGCAGTGATACTTTCTTTAACGTCTCACTGCCTCCTTCTCACAAATGATCCCATAAATATAAAAATTAAAATAATTTGGTTCAACACAGTGGCTGGTCATTTTGACCCTATGAACAACTGAGGGTTAAGGTAAATTAGGTAAATTAAATTAAATCAAATTAAATCCACCAGGGCCTGTAAGTCTAGGTTGCGGACTCAACTGTTTTCTATGCTGAGTATTTGCAAACCCAGACAGTTTTTCCTGAGACATGGCATTATATGTCCATTGCGCTGCACACAATTTAAACTTTGTCTTGGATGATGCATGCCAAGATATAAAACGCCGGTTCACCAGTAGCCTATGAACGAAATCACAAACAGATTTTTTGTTCAAGCCCACAATAACTGTTATCTGCTAAAGATGCTGTTCTGTTTGCATCTGCATCTGTGGCATTTTAGTCATTTAGCAGACGATCTTATCTTATTTAGCGACTTCCAGAAAATATGAGGTAAGCTCCCAGCAGAGCCCCAAGTCCAATGGGTATATCCTCTGGTGTGTTGATATTAATGTGTTGATGTTCTCCGTATCCATAGCCAGAATGATTTTGCAGTGCATGGTGATCGAACAGGTTTCCTGTTATATTCATCAGAGGTGTAGGGAGCGTGAAGTCTGTGAATCCAAAAAATAGTAATTATACAGATGTTTAACGAAACATGCACACAACAGTATTCATACCTTGGTTTTTGTGGTAAATGTGAATGAAATAATGGTTTTCATGCACATACCTTGTCCATAATGTAGAGGCCTATGGGATTTTCATTGAAGACGTAAGGGGGGAGGATGGTACATGTGATCTGCATAACATAACATAGCAATCCCCTTCTGTAACCTCAATAGACACAAGACCTTTCTATGCCTCCTCGTCTGTAAACCTGCAGACACAGACACAAAGACCTTTCTATGCCTCCTCGTCTGTAAACCTGCAGACACAGACACAAAGACCTTTCAATGCCTCCTCGTCTGTAAACCTGCAGACACAGACACAAAGACCTTTCTATGCCTCCTCGTCTGTATACCTGCAGACACAGACACAAAAGTGAGCAGTTCATTCATCTGCACCAAATACAGCTAGCCTTGAACATATTCTTATAGCATTCATATTCTTACCTCTTTGTTGATTGATATCCATTGAATTGTGTCCATTTTCTGTTTTAGAAAGATTGGCACAAATATGAAAAGATAGATGGTATCATCATAAAACAATATCAATTTAGATCATACAAGGGACAAACCTTACCTGAAATTGAGGAGATCTAAAAAAAAATAAAAAATAAAAATCCTGTCCTTTCAAATCCAAATGTTTCAGTTGGGCAGTTAGGTTCCTGCAAGAACCCCCACCAACTAAGGAGGTTCCTCGATGAACCCCACCTCCTATGGGATTCTTGGAAGAACCATTTGGGGGCAATTTTCAGTGCCAAGAACCCTAAGGTTCTTCGAAGAACTTTGAGGATCTTAGAAGAACCCTTGTTGAACCCCTAGGCTCTCCGTCTGATATGCGCTTTTGAACACCTGAGTAAGCTCCACTCGTTGCCCTGGCGCCGTCGTTGCCTTGACAACGGCATTTGTTCACTGACATCCCCTTATACATTCAATCAGTTTATTTGTTATTTTTCACCTTTCCAGTCACATTCCTGAAGCCCAATAAACAAACACTTAGCTCCCTAGTACATATGGACATTAAAAAGGTTTATGAATGACTTTTTGGAGGGTTAGTCTCAAAGTGATTTATTCAATAAATAAAAAATTGACATCGATGACAGGCGCTTGGGCAGCCAGAGCTCGTGGGCCCCTGCGGGGGTTTCCGGTACGCCAGTGCTTACACGTCTTTTCGTTACATTATCAACTGTTACTAATGACCCTCAGCAATAACCACACGGCTACGACGGCGTTTACAGAGGAAGCAAATGAAGGTAAACGAAACAATGGAATGATAATGTAGACTATACCAACTGAAGGGAACTAACAGTAAATTGGCAGTTGAATATGTGTGTTTATTAGGCCTACTGACGGTCGATACTGACAGTGGCTAATATTTAACATGATAGAAATAGGAAACAGCGAAAGTCGGGGTAGCCTATAATTATGAGGGAATGAAGTCAAGGTCAGAATACGGCGTATCTGTAGACACACCTCCGCCACACCTTCATTTATTCTATCTCCACCCCCAACGAATAGCGCGTGAATAACACGCTATTCTCATGCTTAAGTCGAAGGTCAGAATAGGCATAGAGAGAAAAGTGCATAAAAAGGGTATAACTCTCCATTTACAAGCGCTTGACTAGGGTTTGAATCGGGGCCCACATGAATGCCAGAGACCCCATTTCACATAGTTTGTTTTTGTTTGTGTGCAGGTCTGGGGTAAATCCATTTTCAATTCAGCCAATTCCAATTTCAGTGTACTTCCTGAATGAATTGAACCCTGTATCTTGGTCTGTGTCTCCTGAATGAATTGAACTCTGTATCTTGGTCTGTGTCTCGTGAATGAACTGAACTCTGTATCTTGGTCTGTGTCTCCTCAATGAACTGAACCCTGTATCTTGGTCTGTGTCCTGTCACCTCCCGTCTCATCACCCGATGTCTCTCAGTCTGCACAGTTTCTCCTGACCCTGTGTCTATAAAAGAGAACAGCACAGTGGACCTTCTAGTAGCCACCATCAACTGCGGTGATGATGTTCAGCTGACCATCACAGAGAACCCCGAGGATGCTTTCTACCTGCGGGGGACGGACCTCATCGCCAAGAGAGGACTGGACTTTGAGGTGAGCTCAGGGGGCAATGTATCAAGCTGATCTAGGATCCGTTTTGCTTTGTAGAATACAAAAGACTACAAGCAGGCGGGACCTTATCGTAGATCAGTACTCCTACTCTGAGACGCTTTATCAATACAGCCTCAGAACAAAACATTTATAGCATTTTTAATAGCATGTCACTAAGTGCATTTACTTTCAAAATGTGTTCTTCTTGGACAAGTTCAGGTAGTGTTGTGGAGATCTGGCTGCATGGCAACTGCAAAGTAGTTGGCCTGGAACAATGACCGTGAACTGACTCAGTTATGGGGTTCGAAGGTCATTTTTCCATTGACAAAAAAGGGTGAAAAGAAAGTTCACCTCGTTGGAGACGAGGGACTGTTGCCGTTTTGCATTCTGTCTTGATATGAAATGACTGCTGCTGTTTTGCGTTTGTTTCCCAGTCCCTGCCCAGTGTGGACGATGCTCTGTGGGTCCGGGTGCGCTGCAACAGAACTGGCTCCAGATCAGTGAGTAGTAGTGATGACGGGCCTCATGGTCACGGGGCAGCGGTAGTCATGGGTTACGTCCCAATGACAGTCCAAACCATATGTCTGCTCTGAAGCTGTGGGCGAAGAACAATGTGTCCAATATCACATCAAATCTCCAACTCTAAAAAAATAAAATAAAGTAGACTCTATCGAATGTTTTGCTGCTTTTAAACGCAAACTAACGATTGATTCACTCTGTTCCTAAGGTGAACGTGTCTGTTGAAGTTTTCATTGAAAATGTGAACGACAATCCTCCGAAACTTCGCTCAGAGTCATTATGTTCTCCAGGTGAACGAGGTGAGACCCCCCCTTCCATCTACTATATATCTTATAACATCGGACACTTAATCTGTGGGCCTAAAAAAATAGAATGGTGATTATGTTACGATGACAATAGTAATAAATTCATACAAAACCACATCGGTTTGTATGAATAAACGTTCCACATTGGCACATTTCCACGAAGCAACGTTTTCTGTAGAACGACGTGTTTGATTGTGAGCCCTCTGTCCCATAGCTGACTCCTGTGAACACCAGTGTTGGTCTGATCGAGGCAACAGACATTGACTCTGAGCCCCTGTACTACCGTTTAGAGCCAGTCACGGTGAGACCCTCCCTCCGTCGCTAACGAACAATATCACTGATATTGATGCTGATATTGATGCTGTGTTGATGCTGCTGGTCTTGTTTCAGGTCTCTCGTGAAAAATAGTTATTTTTTTTATTTTTTTTAATCTCAATGAGACTAACCTGGTTAAATAAAGGTTCAATCAAATCATTGCTCGGGAGTTAGAAGATTAAACAGACACGTGTCATTATTTGTGTCACCAGAACAGGTATCTACGACTGGAGAATGCCAACACCCCCAACATACTGGTGCAAAACACCATTGACTACGACTCCGTCCAAAAGATCTCCCTTGTCTTACATGTGCAGGTATACTGTCGTTTTTTCATGTACAGGTAATACATTTTGCACTCTGTTTTTGTCAAACGGGTATTCAAAGTATTCAACAAATACACTATAATCTGTAAAATAACATCATCCTATATCAGAGAACCAGTATCTCCTGTCCTCAGCTCAATGCCCGTTGACCTTCCTTGACAATCTATTAATACCATTTCCCAGGACACGTACAACATTTCTGAGTCTGGCGAGCCTTCGTTCACTGCCGTGGTGACCATCACGGTTAACGTGAAGGACATTGACAACCGTCCACCGTGGTTCCAGCCCTGTGTTAGAACCAACTTGGGGACAGCCAAACTGTGTGTCAGCTCCGGCTACAGGGCAAAGGTCAACCTCACAGAGAAAGAGGTCCGTGTTATCTGTGTAACTTCACAGAGAGAGGTTCTTCTTCTTCTTCTTGTTAAGGTTGCATCATCAGTCCACATGATACATCTTGTAGAAGGGCGACATCCACTTGTAGAGTAACTTCTAGTGTATTTTAGTAATCGGGGTGCGTTTGATTTAGCTTGGAGTTTTCACTTTTGGAACTATTCAATTGGTTCCATTAAACAGGGCAAACTAAACCAAGTGCAGCTCAAGTATTTCACATATTTTGACCCAGGTCTGTTGTTGTCCACAGGATGGGCCTTTATCTCTGGAGCCTGGTCCGTTATACGCCAAGGATGGAGACAGAAACAGGAGTGAGCTGATCAGCTATAGGATACTCAGAGGTACAACAGGTCTTTGCTGTTATCTCCACAGTAATCTAGTTTTGCTGTCATCGCCACAGTAATCTAGTTTTGCTGTTATCTCCACAGTAATCTAGTTTTGCTGTTCTCCCCACAGTAATCTAGTTTTGCTGTTCTCCCCACAGTAATCTAGTTTTGCTGTTTTCCCCACAGTAATATAGTTTTGCTGTTCTCCCCACACTAAGATGAGGTTTCCCCAAAAATATAAACTTGTTTATTTTTTTACCTTACGAAGATTGAAACATTGTCAATAAAGGTGGTAATTGGGAGCATATACAATGTGAGGGACTTCCTGTTCTCTTTACGTTATCAGCCGGGCACCAACGTTTTTTTAAAGGATGTGCGTATGACCACAAACTTTTCCATATCTTAAAAATATATCATACATGATCAAATATCATCATACTTCTTTCTCCTCTGTATCACATAACACACTGATATTAACTTCATGGTTTGTGTATCTTTCCCTGGCAGGAAATGAAGGCAGCATCTTCCAGATCGATGAGGAGACGGGGAACATCTCCATGGTCAAAGCCGCAGACATCGCAGGCCCAATAACCCTCACTGTCCTGGTAAAGAGATATATTTTCAATCTGTATTTCCATCCGTGTACTCAATTTCTTCTTTTAGCATTTAGTCGATTGAAAGCTATGATTGTGTTCAACATTGAAATTGATCTTCAGATCATGTGTAATTTCGAATTGCAAATGATGATGAATGAGATGTATTTTCTTGCTAGAACATAATTTTGGGTTTCAGAACCAATTGAATAAACATATAGTTCATACAGTATTTTATAGACTTCTAGAATATATTAAAAAATACATTGTGGCGGCATGATCTTATTCCAATTGAGTTTGAGAAGAATTTTAATTTCTGATACGGTCATCTAGAAACCCAGAACCAAACCTTGCGTGCGCTGGTCATGCTATTTGATATTTCTATTAAGAGTCTGTCACAGGAGACTACAGATACAATGACTAGACTACCTCCCTCTACTAGACGACCTCCCTCTACTAGACTACCTCCCTCTACTAGACTACCTCCCTCTACTAGACGACCTCCCTCTACTAGACTTACCTCCCTCTACTAGACTACCCTCCCTCTACTAGACTACCTCCCCTCTACATAGACGACCCTCCCTCTACTAGACCCTAACCTCCCTCTACTATACGACCTCCCTCTACTAGACTTATCCTCCCTCCTACTAGACGATACCTCCCATCTACTAGACTACCTCCGCTCTACTAGACCAATTACCTCCCTCTACTAGACTGTAACCTCCCTCTACTGACTACCTACCCTCTAACTAGACCTACCTCCCTCTACTAGACTACCTCCCTCTACTAGAACGAACCTCCCTCTACTAGAAAACCTACCCTCGACTAGACTATCCCGTCCCTCTACTAGACGACCTCCCTCTACTAGACGACCTCCCTCTACTAGACGACCTCCCTCTACTAGACGACGCCCTCTACTAGACTATAACCTTCCCTCTACTTAGACGAACCTCCCTCTAACTAGACTACCTCCCTCTACGAGACTACCCTCCCTCTACTAGACTACCTCTACTAGACTACCTCCCTCTACTAGACGACCCCCTCTACTAGACAACCTCCCTCTACTAGACGACCTCCCTCTACTAGACGACCTCCCTCTACTAGACTACCTCCCTCTACTAGACGACCTCCCTCTACTAGACTACCTCCCTCTACTAGACGACCTCCCTCTACTAGACTACCTCTACTAGACTACCTCCCTCTACTAGACTACCTCCCTCTACTAGACTACCTCCCTCTACTAGACGACCTCCCTCTACTAGACTACCTCCCTCTACTAGACGACCTCCCTCTACTAGACTACTCCCTCTACTAGACTACCTCCCTCTACTAGACGACCTCCCTCTACTAGACTACCTCTTACTAGACACCTCCCTCTACTAGACTACCTCCCTCTACTAGACTACCTCCCTCTACTAGACACTCCCTCTACTAGACTACCTCCCTCTACTAGACGACCTCCCTCTACTAGATCCTAACACTCCCTTACTAGACTACCTCCCTCTACTAGACTACCTCCCTCTACTAGACTACCTCCCTCTACTAGACTACCCCCTCTACTAGACGACCTCCCTCTACTAGACTACCTCCCTCTACTAGACTCCCCCTCCCTTACTACTCCCTACTAGACTACCTCTACTAGACACCTCCCTCTACTAGACTACCTCCCTCTACTAGACTACCTCCCTCTACTAGACTACCTCCCTCTACTAGACGACCTCCCTCTACTAGACTACCTCCTTACTAGACGACCTCCCTCTACTAGACTACCTCCCTTACTAGACTACCTCCCTCTACTAGAGACCTACCTCTACTAGACTACCTCCCTCTACTAGACTACCTCCCTCTACTAGACTACCTCCCTCTACTAGACTACCTCCTTACTAGACTACCTCCCTCTACTAGACGACCTCCCTCTACTAGACTACCTCCCTCTACTAGACTACTCCCTCTACTAGACTACCCTACTAGACTACCTCCTCTACTAGACTACCTCCCTCTACTAGACTACCTCCCTCTACTAGACTCCTCCCTACTAGACTACCTCCCTCTACTAGACTACCTCCCTCTACTAGACTACCTCCCTCTACTAGACACCTCCCTCTACTAGACTACCTCCCTCTACTAACTAGACTACCTCTACTAGACTACCTCCCTCTACTAGACTACCTCCCTCTACTAGACTACCTCCCTCTACTAGACTACCTCCCTCTACTAGACTACCTCCTCTACTAGACCTCCCTCTACTAGACTACCTCCCTCTACTAGACGACCTCCCTCTACTAGACTACCTCCCTCTACTAGACTACCTCTACTAGACTACTCCCTCTACTAGACTACCTCCCTCACTAGACTACCTCCCTCTACTAGACACCTCCCTCTACTAGACTACCTCCCTCTACTAGACTACCTCCCTCTAACTAGACCCTCCCTCTACTAGACCCTCCCTCTACTAGACTACCTCCCTCTACTAGACTACCTACCTCTACTAGACTACCTCCCTCTACTAGACTACCTCCCTCTACTAGACTACTCCCTCTACTAGACTACCTCCCTCTACTAGACACCTCCCTCTACTAGACTACCTCCCTTACTAGACTACCTCCCTCTACTAGACTACCTCCCTCTACTAGACTACCTCCCTCACTAGACTACCTCTACTAGACTACCTCCCTCTACTAACTACCTCTACTAGACACTCCCTCTAAGACTAGCCCCTTACTAGACTACCTCCCTCTACTAGACTACCTCCTCTTATAGACATCACGACTACCTCCCTCTACTAGACTACCTCTACTAACTACCCCCTTACTAGACTACCTCCCTCTACTAGACTACCTCCTCTACTAGACACCTCCCTCACTAGACTCCTCTACTAGACTACCTCCCTCTACTAGACTACCTCCCTCTACTAGACCTCCTCTACTAGACTACCACTCCCTCTACTAGACTACCTCCCTCTACTAGACTACCTCCCTCTACTAGACTACCTCCTGCTACTATTGACTAACCTCCTCTACTAGACTACCTCCCTCTACTAGACTACCCCCCTCTACTAGACTACCTCCCTCTACTAGACTACCTCCCTCTACGACTACCTCCCTCTACTAGACTACCTCCCTTACTAGACTACCTCCCTCTACTAGACTACTCCCTCTACTAGACTACCTCCCCTACTAACTACTAACTAGACCTCCCTCTCTAGACTACCTCCTCTACTAGACTACCTCCCTCTACTAGCTACTACCTCTACTAGACTACCTCCCTCTACTAGACTACCTCTACTAGACTACCTCCCTCTACTAGACCTCTATACACTCCCTCTACTAGACTACCTCCCTCTACTAGACTACCTCCCTCTACTAGACTACCTCCCTCTACTAGACTACCTCCCTCTACTAGACTACCTCCCTCTACTAGACTACCTCCCCTCTACTAGACTACCTCCCTCTACTAGACTACCTCTACTAGACTACCTCCCTCTACTAGACTACCTCTACTAGACTACCTCCCTCTACTAGACTACCTCCCTCTACTAGACTACCTCCCTCTACTAGACTACCTCCCTCTACTAGACTACCTCTACTAGACTACCTCCCTCTACTAGACTACCTCCCTCTACTAGACTACCTCCCTCTACTAGACTACCTCCCTCTTCTAGACTACCTCCCTCTACTAGACTACCTCCCTCTACTAGACTACCTCTACTAGACTACCTCCCTCTACTAGACTACCTCCCTCTACTAGACTACCTCTACTAGACTACCTCCCTCTACTAAACTACCTCCCTCTACTAGACTACCTCTACTAGACTACCTCCCTCTACTAGACTACCTCCCTCTACTAGACTACCTCTACTAGACTACCTCCCTCTACTAGACTACCTCCCTCTACTAGACTACCTCTACTAGACTACCTCTACTAGACTACCTCCCTCTACTAGACTACCTCCCTCTACTAGACTACCTCCCTCTACTAGACTACCTCCCTCTACTAGACCCTCCCTCTACTAGACTACCTCCTCTACTAGACTACCTCCCTCTACTAGACTACCTCCCTCTACTAGACCACCTCCCTCTACTAGACTACCTCCCTCTACTAGACTACCTCTACTAGACTACCTCTACTAGACGACCTCCCTCTACTAGACTACCTCCCTCTACTAGACTACCTCCCTCTACTAGACTACCTCCCTCTACTAGACGACCTCCCTCTACTAGACTACCTCCCTCTACTAGACTACCTCCCTCTACTAGACTACCTCCCTCTACTAGACTACCTCTACTAGACGACCTCCCTCTACTAGACTACCTCCCTCTACTAGACGACCTCCCTCTACTAGACTACCTCCCTCTACTAGACTACCTCCCTCTACTAGACTACCTCCCTCTACTAGACTACCTCCCTCTACTAGACTACCTCCCTCTACTAGACCACCTCTACTAGACTACCTCCCTCTACTAGACTACCTCCCTCTACTAGACTACCTCCCTCTACTAGACTACCTCCCTCTACTAGACTACCTCTACTAGACTACCTCCCTCTACTAGACTACCTCCCTCTACTAGACTACCTCCCTCTACTAGACTACCTCTACTAGACTACCTCCCTCTACTAGACTACCTCCCTCTACTAGACTACCTCCCTCTACTAGACTACCTCCCTCTACTAGACGACCTCCCTCTACTAGACTACCTCCCTCTACTAGACTACCTCCCTCTACTAGACTACCTCCCTCTACTAGACTACCTCCCTCTACTAGACTACCTCCCTCTACTAGACTACCTCCCTCTAGACTACCCCCTCTCTAGACTACCTCCCTCTACTAGACGACCTCTACTAGACTACCTCCCTCTACTAGACGACCTCCCTCTACTAGACTACATCTCTCTACTAGACTACCTCTACTAGACGACCTCCCTCTACTAGACTACTCCACTGATACCTCCCTCTACTAGACTACCTCCCTCTACTAGACTACCTCTACTAGACTACCTCCCTCTACTAGACTACCTCCCTCTACTAGACGACCTCCCTCTACTAGACTACCTCCCTCTACTAGACGACCTCCCTCTACTAGACTACCTCCCTCTACTAGACTACCTCCCTCTACTAGACTACCTCCCTCTACTAGACTACCTCCCTCTACTAGACGACCTCCCTCTACTAGACTACCTCCCTCTACTAGACTACCTCCCTCTACTAGACTAACCTCCCTCTACTAGACGACCTCCCTCTACTAGACTACCTCCCTCTACTAGACTACCTCTACTAGACTACCTCCCTCTACTAGATACCTCTACTAGACTACCTCCCTATACTAGACGACCTCCCTCTACTAGACGACCTCCCTCTACTAGACTACCTCCCTCTACTAGACTATCTCCCTCTACTAGACTACCTCCCTCTACTAGACTACCTCCCTCTACTAGACTACCTCTACTAGACTACCTCCCTCTACTAGACTACCTCCCTCTACTAGACTACCTCCCTCTACTAGACTACCTCCCTCTACTAGACTACCTCTACTAGACTACCTCCCTCTACTAGACTACCTCCCTCTACTAGACTACCTCCCTCTACTAGACTACCTCCCTCTACTAGACTACCTCCCTCTACTAGACTACCTCCCTCTACTAGACTACCTCCCTCTACTAGACGACCTCCCTCTACTAGACTACCTCCCTACTAGACTATCCTCCCTCTACTAGACTACCTCCCTCTACTAGACTACCTCCCTCTACTAGACTACCTCCCTCTACTAGACTACCTCCCTCTACTAGACTACCTCCCCTACTAGACTACCTCTACTAGACTACCTCCCTCTATAGACTACCTCCCTCTACTAGACTACCTCCCTCTACTAGACTACCTCCCTCTACTAGACTACCTCCCTCTACTAGACTACCTCCCTCTACTAGACTACTTCCCTCTACTAGACTACCTCCCTCTACTAGACTACCTCCCTCTACTAGACTACCTCCCTCTACTAGACTACCTCTACTAGACTACCTCCCTCTACTAGACTACCTCCCTCTACTAGACTACCTCCCTCTACTAGACTACCTCCCTCTACTAGACTACCTCCCTCTACTAGACGACCTCCCTCTACTAGACTACCTCTACTAGACTACCTCCCTCTACTAGACTACCTCCCTCTACTAGACTACCTCCCTCTACTAGACTACCTCTACTAGACGACCTCCCTCTACTAGACTACCTCCCTCTACTAGACTACCTCCCTCTACTAGACTACCTCCCTCTACTAGACTACCTCTACTAGACTACCTCCCTCTACTAGACTACCTCTACTAGACTACCTCCCTCTACTAGACTACCTCCCTCTACTAGACTACCTCTACTAGACTACCTCTACTAGACTACCTCCCTCTACTAGACTACCTCCCTCTACTAGAACCTCTACTAGACTACTCTACTAGACACCTCCCTCTACTAGACTACCTCCCTCTACTAGACTACCTCTACTAGACTACCTCCCTCTACAGACTACCTCTACTACCTCCTCTACTAGACTACCTCCCTCTACTAGACGACCTCTACTAGGACTACCTCCCTCACTAGACTACCTCCCTCTACTAGACTACCTCCCTCGACTAGACTACCTCCCTCTACTAGACTACCTCCTCTACTAGACTACATCCCTCTACTAGACCTATACCTCCCTCTACTAGACTACTCTACTAGACTACCTCC